GAGAAGCACAGAGCCGAAGACACAAGCCTGAAGATGATGAATGAGACTTCATCGAAACGTTGCCTAGATACTTCGAATCTTACGCGGGAGAAAACCCGAACAACCAAAGATCCACATACAAATACCTGCGAGAACCTCAGAAAACAAATATATATACATTGTGATGATATATATACAAATATATATACATTGTGATGATGCGTGAATGGTATTTCATGTGTGTGTATGTATGTGTGTGTATATACTGGGTCTTATGTTAATTTTTGCTCCAAAAGATGCATTAGGTCTTATTTTCCAGTTAGGTCTTATTTTCGGGAAAATACGGTTTCAAATGTGTCCACCTGGTTGACAATCTGAACTGGGGCTTATTTTCAGGGTAGGGCCTATATTACAAGCATCCTGAAAAATCATGCTAGGGCTTGTTTTCCATTTGGGTCTTGTTTTCAGGGAAACAGGGTACATACTGGTGGCTAAGTACCAGAGCTTTGATCCTGGGGCCATGGGGAAGCGGTGATGGTCTTGGTGGGGATCCATTGTAAATCACTATTTCATTCCTGTTATAACTTCGAGAATACTCGCTAAATGGCTGTAAGTTGAGGAATACCTGCACTTTTGTAGTGGCCTATGGAGATTCTCCATCATCCAGGTTATGGTTGTCCAAAGGTGCTTTTTTCTGGAGGCAACTGGACTTTCTGGTTTCTCTTTGAAGATGTTTCACTTCTCATCCAAGAAGCTTCTTCAACTCTGACAGGACTTCCCCACCATCCTGTCAGAGCTGAAGAAGTTTCTTGGATGAGAAGTGAAACATCTTCAAAGAGAAACCAGGAAGTCCAGTTGCCTCCAGAAAAAAGCACCTTTGGGACTACCCCTGTAGGTCATTTTCTTGTTTCTCTTTGAAGATGTTTTGCCTCTTGTCCAAGAAACTTCTTCAGCTCTGACTTGGATGAGAAGTGAAACATCTTCAAAGAGAAACCAGAAAGTGTAGTTGCTTCCTGGAAAAAAAAAAAAAGCACTATTGCGAGAACTGTGGCCTGGATGACTTGAGAATCTCCATAGACATTTAGCCGTGCACTTGGGGATGAACCCTGTTCGAATGGTTGCGGGAGTATGAACAGATTTCCAGAAAGAGTACAAATTACAGGAGCCATTTTCGCTTCAGTCTGAGATGCAGGAAGCATAGACTCGTCCCTGACAACCTGCACCCGTCTTCAACAGTGAAGGAACACACGGCAGAAAAATACCCTGCAGTCAAAAAGGCTTCACACATATTGGCCCTTCTCAGGTGACCCTGCGGACACAGATAAACCTGCAAGAGGCCTCAATGATCCCTAAAAGGATGCAAATTGCCAGCTGTCTGCAAGGAATATAAATCCTTCCATTCCCCACCATCCCGTTAGAGCTGAAGAAGCTTCTTGAAGGAGAAGCGAAAAGTCTTTAAAGAAAAATTGAGAAAGTCCAGTTGCCTCCTGAAAAAGCACCTTTCGTCGTGACTCTCAAGCTATTTCAGGAGTTTTATGAGTGGTCATTCAAGTGGGCATCTCAAGGAGGCAGATGACAGCATATTGAGATATAATATGTGTAAAAAATGCCAATACATAATACTTCATATAACTGCAGCCAGAAATTGCCTTTGCCCAGAACTGGAAACAAGACAACACTGCTTCCGACATAATGATAATAAAAAAGGTTTTAGAATGTGCAGAGATGGATAGGTTATCGATGGAATTAAAAGACAGAGAAGAAACGGAGTACTATGAGATCTGGAATTTATGGTACAATTGGTTGGAAGGTAGACGCAAAACTGATAGATGAAGGGTATGTAGGAGCTATGGTAAGATGAGATAAATACTATTTGTAATTTTGTAAATATTTGGTTTATGCTGAATACAGCAACAACTATGTAATATATAGTAGCAACCTACATAATTGGAAAGTAGGTCAATCCATGGCATGTTTGAAATATTTTTACCACCAGTTTGGTGGGCGTGGCTTGGTGTGTGCGTGCACACTTTGGCAACACGCGTGCGCCAAACGCACACTTTGCACAGGCGCAGAGGCGTTTTGAGTCACTGCCTGCAATCCTGCACTCGCCCCGACGCTTCAGCAATCGCTGTGCAAAGCAGCTGCGCTACAAAAGCAGGACATAAAGGTGATATGGGAACCCAGGCGGGCAGGTGGGCCCAACAGCAGAGTGTCGGAGAGAACGGGTTCGGTCTTCGCTGCTCATCGCCGCTACCGGCTCTGCAGAACTGGGCCGAACCCGTAGAATACCACCACAGATGTCAATGTGAATGAACGCCGATACTGGAAAGCGGTAATGAGTGGGAATGTGTTTTTATGATGAAAACATGACTAATAAAATTTATTTTATTTTATTTTTTAAAAAAGAGAAAGTCCACTTGCCTCCTGAAAAAGCACCTCTTGCCGTGACTCTCAAGCTATTTCAGGCGTTTTATGAGTGGTCATTCCTTCAAGTGGGCATCGCAACAAGATGACAGCTTCAAACCTCAAACATAAATTGTGTTTCTCACCCAACCACCATCACCCCCCCCTTTTTTTTTTTGCTTACTGTGTAACATTGGATTGTTGGCTTTTTTTGGCACAGCTGGAGCCCCCCTGGCAGTGGAATGCATTGTGGATGTCGACTGCCGCAGGCGAAACGGGATGGAGCCATGGCAGACTGGAGAGCAGGTTAGTGGCGCCTCCAACACGTCCCTGCCCTTTAGACCTGCTTGCTAGGCCTCACTTCCTCTCGCCCAAGGAGCCCTTCTACAGGTGTGTGTGTGTGCCTGCAGATGCGTGTGTCTTTCTCGGCATGGATGCTCCCGGCTGCCTCAGGTGTTACTAACGCGGTAATTAATAAAGTTAGGAATAATTTAGGCTCGCTCCCTAGCCACTAAGGCCGCCCACGCTTCCACGCGTAGTTACAGGGCTTCTAATTTTAGCGCTCGCTGTTTCGAAGACTTCGGTCTCCAGGGATGGCCCAGGCCCTTCGTTTGACCTGGAAGGGATACTGAAGAAATAAAGGATCATGAGGAGACGGTCCTCCCAAAAATCCACGGCTTCAGAGGATCCATTCCTGTTTTGGCTTGTCTGCTCCTCGCTTCCAAAGTACATTGAATCCTTGACTTAGGATCACAACGGAGCCCAAAATTTATGTTGCTCAGGGAGACATTTGTTAAATGACCTTTTTTCGTTGTTGTTGTTGCCGCTGTTGGTCAGTGAATCCCTGCAATTGTTAAGTTAGTGACATGGTTATTAAGTGAACCTGGCTCCCTCCCCGACACCTGCCTGTCTGAAAGTCACAAAAGGGGATTGTGTGACTCCATCACAAATGCGAGCCGGTTGCCAAGCGTCTGAATTTTTATCATGTGACCCAGTGGGTGGGATTCAAAATGTTTTTTACTACCGGTTCTGCGGGCGTGGCTTGGTGGACATGGTGTGGCTTGATGGGCGTGCCAAGGGAAGGATACTGCAAAATCCCCATTCCCTCCCCACCCCACTAACCTGCTTTCCAGCTCCGTTCTCCTGTGCAGGGCAACCAAAGAAGACCCAACCGATCAGCTGGGACTCAACGGGAGGCAGAGAATAGATGGGGTTGACAAGGCCAGTCAGAGGTGGTATTGGACGGTTCTCCGAACTACTCAAAATTTCCCCTACTAGTTCTCCAGAACTGGTCAGAACCTGCTGAATACCACCTCTGATGTGACCGTGGGGGGATGCTCAACAGTTGTATGCATGGAAAAACAGCCGTAATTCCTTTTCCTCAGTGCCGTTGTAACTTGGACTGGTCACTAAATGAATCAGTGGTAAGTTGAGGACTACGCTGGCTGGGGAATTCTGGGAGTTGAAGCCCACCCAGTTTAAAGTCACCAAGGCTGAGAAACACTGCATTAGAAGACACGGCTCCCTCTAATTAAGAAGGGAACAATACTTCTCCGAATGTTGAATTGTTGCATCAGTCAGTTACATCCAAACACACACACACACACACACCTACATATGCAGATAGGCACACTCACGGTACGGCACAAAAGTCACTTGTGTCTAAATGAGGCAATCGAAAACAAACATCTTTGTAATTACCCCCTTGAGACTGGGGTGCAGCCCCAAGGCCTGGAGGAGAGAAAGGTCCCCATGGAGATAGGCAGTGCGGGACAATGATGAGTGCACACACATACCGCGTGTATACAGCCCGAGCCTCTTGTTGCATTTCGATCTAGGGGAGCTGAGTTCATATCTCCTATTGATCAACCCGCCACTAGTGCATAGAGGCACCGTCAATCCAAAGATCCTTAAACATGGTAGCCCGGCTTACGGTGGTCGAAAAAGGGTTCCCATGCGTTTCCTGAACCGTTGCTTGGCATCTTCGTTAGCGTGACAGGCTAAGCGAAGTATTTCACGGCTTGTCAGGACTTGATCCCTGATCAGCTGCTATGCTAACCTGCTTTACGGTATAAAACTCAATAAGCTGCAATTCGTAAGCCACCAAGACGTCTAACGCTGGCTGGTAAAGTAAGCCTCAAGCCAGGATGATCAAGTCCTTCCATAGAGGACCTGTATACTGCACGAGTCAAAAAGAGGGCTGTGAAAATATTTACAGACCCCTCACATCCTGGACGTAAATGGTTTCAACTCCTACCCTCAAAACGACGCTATAGAGCCCTGCACACCAGAACAACGAGACACAAGGACCGTTTCCCCCCGAAAGCCATCATTCTGCTAAATAAATAATTCCCTCGACACTGTCCAACTATTTACTAAATCTGCATTACTATTACTATTAATCCTCCCATCCTTCCTTTCACCCATCTCCTCCCACTTGACTGTGACTGTAATTTTGTTGCTTGTATCCTTACGATTTATACTGTCTCCTAGTATGATTTGATTGCTTATTGTACCCTATGACTATTATTAAGTGTTGTACCTTATGATTCTTGACGAATATATCTTTTATGTACATTGAGAGCATATGCACCAAAGACAAATTCCTTGTGTGTCCAATTCACACTTGGCCAATAAAGAATATTCTATTTTATTCTATAAACAAACCTTTCCTCATGCAGCATTTTAGCAGCAGCGAACAGTTTGTGTACAAGACATGGAAGGAGTTTCCAAGAAGGCACAACTGCCTGAAGTTTACTGTTTTGTGGGAAACGTGACACTATCCTCTCGGCGGTAGCTTCTCACCAGAATAACAATGCAAGGGTCATGGAAGAAGCCATGGGTTCGTCTGTGGAACTCACTGCCTCATGATGCATTGAGGGTCACCAGCTAGCCAAGTTTTGGGGGGTGGGAAAGCATGCAGTTTAATTTTAATTAAGTTCACCGATGGCAGTGGGTGGACCAAGTGTTCTCCTTGTTGGTTTGAATGGTTGAAAACTGCAGAGATGTGGGGTGGCACAGTGAAGTTCCTGCTGTGTTCCTGGACAGTTTTAAGAATAAAGGGGTTTGCCTTTATGTGAGGCAAAACCAAACACACATAAATTCCAACACGCCCAAATTTTCACTTGCCTTCTGTAAGGATACTCAACTTCCTTATGCTGAATTAGATCAGGTGTCGCATTCAGGTAACGAAAAAAGTGTGCCATCTTTATAGGGCACCCCTTTGTTTGAATGTTGCAGCTAAGCGAGAATGAACAAATCTCCATTTTGACTGAGAACAGGGCCCCTTCTCATTTGCTGGATTCACACATCACATTAAACCATAGTTTGCTTTAACCAGTCAGCCACTGGTTCTTATGATACTGAAAAAGTCCTAATTTCTGAATCCATTCTAGAAAAAATCACGCCATGATTTTCAGAGGCAATTTGACCACAACTCCCAGAATTCCTAGTTATATGGACTGTAACTCTTGGAGATTGTATTTGCAAGATATTCAGAGAAGGTTAGATTAGCCAATTGTGGTACTTTTACTCTTGGTTGGAAATCTTCCTAGCTTACAGTGATGAATCAAGGGTTAGAGAATACTAGATACGTAGGCTGACAATCTGCGGAGGGCCACTGGGTACTCCAGTTTACTAATAGAGGATAGCAGCAGCACTTAGACTTATATACCATTTCATAGTGCTTTACTCCGCTCTCTAAGCAGTTTAGAATGTCAGCATATTGCCCGCAACAATCTGGGTCCTCATTTTACCAATCTTGGAAGTCAACCTTTACAGGTGAGGAATCAAACTCCCAACTGTGGGCAGAGTTAGCCTGCAATACTGCATTCTAACCACCACAGTTCCTAGGATAGCCATGGTCGCAGAACACACTTAAGCCAACCTGTTGCAAACCTAAGCAGCTACTTTCACACAGTATACTGAAGGGTTTTGTGGAGGGGTTATAGTGGTTTTGTACAAACCCAGATCACTGAGTTAGTTTATCTTTCAGCATATGGTACCAAAACCAGAAATGGGTTGATTAATTAAACAGGGTAAGCAGGTCATGAGGACACAACTTTTAAGTCTCATGGAATGGCGGAATGTACTTATAAGCAAGCCGGTTTGGGATATTATTATAACACAGTAATTGACCAGGGAATAGCACAGAAATCTACTTCCAGCAGCAGTAGTATAATAACCTGATGACATATTCCGCAGTAGGAGAGATTTGGAAGAGAGATGAATCCTGTGCAAATTGAATTTGTAGCGGGCTTGTTCATTAACGAAATCGTCAGCCTTTTTGCTAATGTAAACGCATATTTTTCAGCTCCCAAGTGCTGCTTGCGCATGCATGCCTACAAACGTATTTACCTACGAAAGGCCAAATCTCGGCAGTTTAAAATGACAGCTTAAATAAACATGAGGTGCTACCACCTGCAATTGTCCGACAAGCCAGGAACTCGCTCGGTTGCCATCTTAATCCCATCCTCCAACCCTTTATTTAAACAGAACGAAAAGCAGGCAAAACTCAGCATTGTAGCAGGCATGATGTAGCATGAATCTTTTTTGTTCGAGAAAAAGGATCCGTCCCAGCGCAGTCACCCGAGGGATGAGAGGAGGATCGACGAACGACTTGCTTAGTAACAGAAATCCAACTGCGGTCGTAAATTGAGAATAACCCGTAACTGCAAAGAAAAAAAAAAGTTAAAATCGGAAGATTGGGAGCAAAGATAGAAATCTTGTTTTCAAAGTTTTGGCGGCCAAACATCCCAATTTTTGAAAGTATTATCTAAGGTTTGCGGATTTTTCCAGCTCTTCTCTGCTATTAGGACATTGTTAAAATTTAAGAGGTACAGGTAATTCTCAACGTACAACGAGAAATGAGCCCAAATTTTTTTGTAGCGAAGTGAGACAGTTGTTAAGTGAGCTTTGCCCCGTTTTACGACCTTTCTTGCCATAGTTAAGTGAATCACTGCAGTTTAGTAGTAACACAGTTGCTACGTAAATTTGGCTTCCCCGTTGACTTTGTTTCTCAACAAGTCAAAAAAGTGTGATTCCAGGACACTGAAGCCATCATAAATATCAGCGAGTGGCCAAGCGTCCGAATTTTGATTGTGTGACCATGGAGATGGCTACAATGGCCACGAATGTGAAAAACTGCCATAAGTCACTTTTTTTTTTCAGTGCCATTGTAACTTTGATTGGTCATTAAACAAACTCATGTTAAGTCCAGGACCACCTGAACTGCAATCCAAAATACAGCCTGTGTAGGAGGTAAGAGACACAGAAAGTTTGCCTGGAATTCTGGGGTGATTTAGGCT